TGACTCATGAAGAAACAGAGGGTATACAGTCAAACTTCTAAAACATGGGTATTATAAAAACGAATATTTTAATGCTTTTATTATGTGTTGGTTTTGTTTTTTTCACCATTTTGATAGCAGATTGTGTTTTCAGAATAGATGTTCCAGTTTTCAATCAGAGTGTGATTGCACATTAGGATAAAAAAGATGCATGCAACAAATCACAGGAGATTTTTGAGAGAGTTGACATACAAGCTGAAAATGTCCTTCAAAGTTCTTCAGCAAGGCCTTTTTTATTTTCTAAAGGAAAATGTGAATGCATTATTTTCTCAAGAGAGATATTATCTAATCAATTTAGTAAATCTTATGCACTTGCAACAAGCTTGTATAGAAAAGAGATACACATGTCCCTGTACATGTTCCCAAATCCAGTATATTATTCCCTGACAGAGAGAAGTGCCCCATCTTGGGTGGATTAGATTCCCCCCACAACACATAACAAACAGCACTTTGAACTCACCACGGAGATCCTTAGCTGTAACCTATTAACATTTATGAGAACTTCAGTCTGAAAGACTCATGCACAAAGTGACAGTACATTAAGGAACTCTTATCTCATTTTTTCAGACCTGCAAAATGTATTTCATCTGATTTCAAGTTTTTCAAGATATATTGAAATGACAAATAGGTGTGTGACTGTATCAAGGTAAAGTTTAAGTTTTGCAGTTACTCATTTTCAAATATTCTAGTACCATTATTGATAGCACGAAGATATGAAGATCCTGAATTAAAACTCATATTGATGACACATTTTTTAAATACGATGAATAGTTTATATAAGAATCACTCATTAACTTCAAAGAACATTGGGACAAATAGAGTGAAGCTATAACTCTATTGAAGTAAAAGGCAGACTTTCCACAAATTAATATGTTTTAAATGTTGATCCCTTTATTGCCATCTTTTATTTAGAAATATGATTAATCACCTCCTCCTTCACTTCCCAGCTATCTCTGGCAAATCTTGATATCCACCTATAGCACTTTGCAGAATAGATATTTTTCTGTATAGATATTAAAAACATTTGCTATTCAGAAATGCCCTCAATAAAATACTTTTTTTTTTTTTTCAAAGTCCTGAATTTAGGCACAAAACTTTTTAATTCTCCTGGCATCAAATGAAGCATTTTCTTTGCAAAGAGTGAGCAGAGATCAACAGCTCACCCATCTGGCTTGTACTACAGATCAACCACCTAGTGATTGCCTTGTAGTAATTTGGCTTTAAAAGCCACCAATACCTTGGGATATGCTCCGTGCTTCCTCTTATACCTAAGCCACCTAACCTACTGAGCGAATTAGTACTTTCAGGAGCTTTTTTACTTAAAAACCTGAACCATATTAGTCTTTTTCCCCACTGGCTAATATGTATACTTTCTAATAAAACATAATAAATTATTTTAGAAGACTGGCACATATATGGTATCAAATCTTACAGATAAACTCATTAAAAATACTCTAAGCAGAGCAGTCATGCTAAGAACATGTAACAGAACGTACAAGCCAGTCTTCAAGTTGGTTTTCTTTCCCATCTACTGCGGCTTATTTTGATAGAGTAAATGCTGTAATTTAACATAATCATGCTGCATAATCACAGAATCATAACTCTTTTCCTGCACCACACAAGCCTGTTTGCAGATGCAGCAGCCATTTTATAAATCACATTATAGAAAGCAGACTGCTCTTTCTTTGTTTAGTTGTGTTACACTCTTCTCCTTCCCGTAAACCCCTCATTCTCATATAGTGCAGGTATTGTCTTTGGGGTAAACAGCACTATGATCAAGGTGTCTATTTTTAGATCTCAGAGACAGCATTCTTTCCAGCCTCTAGACATTGTACCCTGAATCATATGATCAGCAAATCAGTACATTACTGCCGACTTTTGAGCCTCTTCAGTCTTGTCTAAACAACTTCAAACTTGTGTCACCATGAAGTAAACACAAAACAATATTTCCCTAAATGCTTTATCTTTGACATAATCATCTTATAGAGAAAGATTTGGAAGAGGTAATTAAAGTACATTGCTGAGTAACAAAACTTGGAGGCAACATAGTGAGAAGTGATACAGATAAGACGTAGATCAAAAGGCACACATACACAAAAAAAACCCAACTCAACAACCCACTGAGATCTTCCCCATTTTTCTTTTATAGTTCTAATTAGAAACTATTTAAAAGGTTAAAATGTACAGAATTCACCACTTAAGAGAAGAATCCTTTAAAAACTCATTTAAATGAACAGCAAAAGAGTGAGGGAAGAAGGGGGAAATTATATAAAACAATAAACTGGCCTGGTCCATGGCCTTACTCTGTAATCCTATGCTTACAGCAACCTACAGTATCTTGTGGTCTCATGATTGTTCTAACTTTAATATCATCAATAAAAACACATGCTGCGTTATTGCTTTTTTTATATAAAATCTTCCATTTTAATTTACTGTACCTTAGAATAAGTTTGTCATATGTATCAAGAAACATAAGGAAAGTTGTCTATGAGAAAAACTATATTCATCTGATCTTACTGAAAACTAAACTATTGAAAACTAAAAACTTACATGAAGCATGTTAGATTCACAGACCATTTTCCATAAATCTGGATCAAATCTGAATTAAGGATTTAGTTATTTTTATACAGACCTTAGCTGAATTATGGATTTCAGTGGAGGTCAGACAAAATTCAGCATTTTTCACACAAAATGACTGAGTTCCTTCTTAAGTTTTACACCCAAGACTTACACTTTATTGGATGAGAACTGATGATGGAAAGTAAGCAGAATATTTCCTCACAATTGAGAAGAAAATACAGAGGTTACTCTGTTTTCTCTTTCTTACAATAAATGTTGATAGATCACAAACACCTTTAAACTAACAAATTTAAGTTTCAGTTTCCCTGTTCCTTTGGTATTTCACCTTTTTTCTGCTCAAGTGTTTTAATAAAAGGAAATTATTCTGGGAAAATAATAACTAAATTAAGGCCACATCAAATAATTTACTCCAGAAAAGAGTTATCTCATTACTTGATTATATCATAGTATAGAGTTGCAATGCCTCAGGATTAAAAGATATGCAGAGAAGATGTTTCATATTCATTTTCTATCAAAAGCACTACAGGTAATCTATCCATTTGCTAAAATAAATAGGATTTATAAAAATTCAAATGCACTGTATTGGCACTCATCTTCAATAAGCACTCAGGTGCTGCTATTCATGAATGTATCACTCTATTATTGGAGTCTTCGCTGCTCCATTCATACACATTTATGATTCATGTTCTTTGCATAAATCAAATTACACTAGAACTAGAAAATTCTACAAAGAATTTCACTATCAAGAAATTGATAAGAAAGATCAAAGAAAGTATTGAAAAACAGATGGAAGTAAAATAAGAGGTCTCAGAAAACTAGTACTGCCTGAAATAGGAAAAATCACTAGTAGAATTATTATGAATTAAACCTTGGTTTATATTCATCAAGGAAAAGGTATATTTTCACCGCATGTTACCTAGCACACAGAAAACAATTCAAAGTAAAAATCCCAGTGACAGAAAGACAGTTACAGAGAGACAAATAGGACAAGACAAACTATGAAAGAGTAAGACAATATTCATTTTCATTATCTAAATTAATAGCCTACACTCTATGGCATGTACAATGAAGTGAAGCCTTCACAGAGCAGTTTAGGCCTTCTATTTGGGAGCTTATAGACCAAGCTATGCCTTTAGGTACTTTCATGAGTGCATAAAATTTACAATTATCCTGTTTTCAGCAAGTTTTTACTTACTTTCATTGTACATTAACTACCGCAAGGCAAATGCAAAAATTTATTCCTGAGGAAGACACAAGGAGAGTTTTAACTCTGATAAATTAAATGCAAAACTAGATGAAAAAAAAATAAGCTAAAACTAAGTATCTTGGAAGGAAGTAACTAATAAAGAAAATATAACTGGAAAATTATTTGAAGAAAATAAATATCACTGAAAGAAACCACTGCTGACAGTACTTAAATGATTATACTAACAACCTTTAAGCAATATCTTTGCCAAGTGACAGCTCAAAAAGGAGAGAACAAGGCACTATTAATGGATTTGGGGTCTTCTCTATATTAGATACACACTTAGAATTTGGCCCAATGTTTCTCCATCAGAATGCTTTTAATTTTACATTTATTACCATGAAATGTTCCTGAATAACAACTTGTGGCAACTTATAAGTCATTATAAGATATAGACCATTTCAAGAAGATTACAATAAATGTCGTCATTACAATGACTTTGGTTTCATGTCATCAGTATAATAAACCATCTGCCCAGAAAGCTGAATTTAATTAAGTCTATTGTGTCTGTGCATAAAGACTGCATTATATCAGTATCATTTCCCATACACTTAAAAATAACATATCAGTCTATTTTCATTGCATTCCTTCCACAAAGATGCTTAACATTTAATTGCCCAATGAAACATATAGTATATTTCTAAGGTTTCATATTCACGGAGATAAAACTAGAAAAGGTAGTGCAAATAAACAGTTAGAAGATTAAATTTCTTATTATATTTCAATATTTTTTTTCAAGTTTACTGTGTACAGGCTTCAGCTTCTTTACAAAGTATCTCATGACACAATATCTGACAAAGAAGTACCTCAAACATTCAGAGTTATTTACTGTAGCATTTACCAAAAGCTTTACAGTTGATTAAAATAGAACATACAAAATACATTGCATCATCTAAAGGTATCTCACAAAAATCACCATCTAGACTTTAAACCAAATGGTGCCACTTGTGTAAGAATTTAGTGTACCTCTTGTCTGCTTTGAATGAACCAATGTCTAAAACATGGTCCCAATATCACATCTGGATCTTTCAGCAGCACTTAATTTAAGGGAATTATGTCTTTGTTTCTCTAAATATTGGGTAAACCCTCAGTTGTCCCCTAGAGGTGATAAACAGAAAGTCAGCATGTTACTCACCAATAAAGTAGTTGTTTCCTAACGCAAGCATTTCTTCAGAAAGAACAAGTCCACCTAAGGCCTGGAGAAGAGTGACACTTCTGCCATCAATAAGTGAACACTGTTTAAATCCAGTGGTTGTGACCTTCCATAGCAGGATAAGAGAAGCAGTAGCATCTTGCCTTATGCTAGGAAAATAAACAGTGAGAATATTTGCACTGAGGGAAACTGGTGTTATTAGGAAGTACACCACTGCAGAACAAAAGCTCACCAACAGAGAAGGAAAACTTAAATGTAGCAAGCATGAAATCAGGAAAAGGCCTGAAGATATTCAGCATGTCCACAAAAATAAAAAAATGCTTCAATAGTAAGATTTGCATAATACTATACATAACAACAGATTTGATCATAGAGTCTCCATTTCAAATACCTGAAGGACATCGTCTTAGTGCCCAAGAAAGTTTTACATCAATATTACATAATAATAAAGTATCCTTACTGAGTCTTTGCATTTATGTCTTTTTGAGTAGTAGCTCCTTTCTACATCTACGATGCCACCATTTTCTGCAGCTGAAGTACATCCAGCCCTCTTGTTTACTGAAGAACATTCTATGTTCATTCACTACAGGGCGACAGTTCCTTGTAGAAATCCTCATTTGTCTGACATATCAGATCGAAGGTTCAGAACAGTTTATTCTTGTAAATCAAATAAGTCATGAAATTCTCCCAAGGTCACTGAGCCCACGGTGCCTTCCTGAATATTGACAGATTGGATAAAGTAATATCTACAACTGCATATACACTGTCAGCTCCACCGGGAAGCACTGTATCTATGTCAGTGTTTCTTTCCTCTCAGGATACTTTTTTTCCCTACTCATCTCTATGAAGAAAAAAAAAAATTGTCATGTTTCTGGCAAGTTCCCAAATGTTTGCATTAATTTCCTCTGAAGGAATCCCAAATGAGTTTGACTATCCTCCAAAAATTCAAACACAA